GCGGTGCGCGCGCTGTCTGTGGAGACTCGCGCTACGGAGGCAGGCGAAAGTATAAACAAGGCAGCGCGAGTCTCCACAGACAGCGCGCGCACCGCTCTTGACCCGCTCACAACCGGAGTCGTCGTCATGGCGGCACGCATTGTTTAGAGCAGATATAGGTGGATGAAACAATTAAAAATTATAATTAAGACTCGCGCTGCGGAGGCAGGCGAAACAAGGCAGCGCGAGTCTCCACAAACAGCGCGTGCACTGCTCCAAACGGTCGAGGCGTTTATACTTGACGCGCTCTCCGTTGTACTATTCCTTGAAACGACAGGGGACGACTCAAGTAACTGTCCTCTCTAACCATCAGGAATCGGTGAGAAGAAGACAGATACATGACAATGTTTATTTTTTTAGTATTCCACCACCAATACAAAAATAATCATGTAACACTCAGTAAACCCTGAGATTATTACTTGTGACATTACAAAAAAATATGTATATTTGGGAACATGTATGTATAGAACTAAATTAATTAAATATTTTCTACATTCACTAAACATGTTTCATTAAGTTTCATGTACATTTGTATTAAACATGGACCATTGTTCATTTAAAAAGGCTTTTTATGCTATTGTATGCTAAATTTTTAAAATGTAACTAATTTAGACATGCAAACTGGGTGCTAGTGTGATGAGAAGTTTGTGCTCGGCTTTGTTTTTGAGAGAACATTTCATTTTAAAACCTTTCTGCAGGCCAGTAGATTATTATTTAGTGTACACATGAGTGGGGTCAAGTTAAACATTTTAGTTTGAATTTTATTTTATACTGTGCATTGTGCTAAATAAATATTTGCATAATTTGTAATTGATTTATTCTTTGAAAATGTTATATTAATTTATGCAATTGCAATGCCTTGATTTTAGTAAAGTTTGTACACAGTCATAGCCATAAATGCAATTATACTAATAATTGGCATAATTTCTTTCGGTGTTTCGGTTTTCGGCCTTGGTTTCCTCTTTTTCGGTTTTCGGTTTCGGCCAAGAATTTTCATTTCGGTGCATCCCTAACATTTAGTCGTTAGGTATGGTGACCACAACCTAACATCTCCTTGACGTCATAATGGTAACTTCAAAACAATGTCAAATTCTAACATTATTAGACGTTGCTCCTTTGTTATTTTTAGGTTGTGTTGTAAAGAAACTAAAATCCAACGTTGAGCCAACGTCTCAAACCAACGTCAAATACTGATATTTAGTCATAAAGGTATGGTGACCAAAAATCAGCGTCTCTTTAACGTCATAATGTTAACATCCATATAACGTCAGTTCTAACATCATTAAACGTTGATCTTTTGTTATTTTTAGGTTGCGTTTTAAAGTAACCAAAATCCAAAGTTAAGCCAACGTCTCAAACCAATGTCACATTGACGTCAAATACTAACATTTAGTGTTGAGGTATGGTGACCAAAATCAAACGCCATCTTGGCATCATAATTGTAACGTCCACACAACGTCTGTTACAACATCATTACATGTTGATATTTTGTTGGTTTTAGGTTGTGTTATTGTTATTAACTAACCAAATAACGTCAAACCAACGTCTCCTGACAACGTCATATTTACGTCAAACATTGACATTTGGTCGTGAGTTATGGTGACCAAAACCCAACATGTTCTTAACGTGATAATGCATCGTCCACACAACGACAAATTCTAACATCATTAGACGTTGATATGTTGGTTTCAGGTTGTGGTACTTACTCATCAAAATACAACGTCAAGCCAACGTCTCAACTAGGGATCGACCGATATGGATTTTTTAGTGCCGATACCGATTTTTTTACCATCAGCCTTAGCCGATGACCGATACGGGCTGCCGATTTTCTTGAGCCGATATTTGGAGCCGATACATTTTGCTCCCTCAATTTACATCATAAAAATTACATGATGTTAACAAATGTTACAGGTCTCAATTTAATAAAAGTAACATATAACTAACTTCAAAAATTAATATTTAACAAATAGTAAAAACATGTGAGGTAGAACAAGAAGATAAACAATTTAACAAATATTAAAAACAAAGTAGAACAAAAAAAGTTCAGTGCTGAAAATAAATAAGCATAAATTAAATTACACTATTGCACACAGTAGCAACCAGCATAATAAAGTGCACAGTGCACACTGTACTTCATTTTAAAAGAAACGAACTATATACTGCATGGTTTCAATTTTTCTACATAAAATAAAATGAGCATGTCTAGTCTCTAATATCACTGCGATGGCGAGGGAGACACACCACACACGTCCAAACCTCAGCCAGGTGGGCGCTGAATAAATCTCCCACAAAAAGCACAGAACAACGTTGGCATTACTTAATCCTATGACCAGTGTTCGTTACAGCACCCGTATGCATACTAGGGCTGTCAAAATTGCTCAAATGGAGTTTGCATATTCCCTCTAAAAAACATATCCGAACATCCCGTTGCGCATTTTGTTATTGACGCGCATTACGTCAATAACAGGACACATTAATACAAAGAGACATAACAACTAGTATTAGATAGTTCATTTGAGTTTAAACATTTGACAACGTATTAAAAAGCAAGTAAATCAACTAATGGCCAAGACCGCAGAGCTCACTCTCACCCTGGACTCGCTCAGGCACTCTCTCTCTCTCGCCCGGACTCGTAGCAGGCACTCTCTCTCTCGCCCTCACGCTCTCTGCGCGTCGGTTAAATGAACAACAACAAACAAATGTTGAGTGCTGATCAAGAGTTTTGTGCAAGCAATTTAAGGTTGCGAGTCGTGACTCTTGTCCCAAATATAACAGGCTTCATTCAGTGATTGAAGTTTCACAGTATGGAACCGACAGTGAGCGCTCTGAGCGAGCTGTGCAGCTGTGGTAACGTTATTAGTCTGCAACCGCAGGCGTGTTTTTCCACATTCAAATATTAATTTTCACCTTAAAAATTAATAGATATTCAAATGTAGAATATTCATAGACAGTCCTAATGCATACTGAACGGATAGCCTACACCTTAGCTATTTGGAGCTCCCTAATACAATGGCAAGCAGTTAAGTTTTATAGACGAGGCATTCGCGTTTTCCATTTGGACCCACAAACTTGCTTAGTTGGAAGCACATAACAGTTATAGGGCGACGTGTTTCCATTTTCAAAGTGTTTGACAATATTTCAGCAGTCAAACATTTAAAAGATCCTTTGAAAGTTTAAGTTACCATTCTCGTGAAGAGAAGGTTGCACTCTGCTAGTGGGGCACGTGAAATGCAGCATCTCCAGCAGCACAGAGCTGCCCGTGGCCGCCTGCTTTAAATAACGGCGGGAAAAAAAAAAAAAAAACTATCGGCGAACGCGCAGCGGTGTATCGGCCGATTCCGATACACGTAACAACCTCAAATATCGGCCGGCCGATATATCGGTCAACAGGAAGTGACCTTTAAAGAAGCAGCCCCCGTCGCATGATTGAACGACATGTTCGAAATTTCTATGGTACATCTACCATGTCCAGACGCACAGAAAAGTCTCTTGGAGCGATGCCCTAAACTCAACAGGAAGTCGGCCATTTCTAATTTCACCGCCATTTTTGGATGATTTACTCATTACGTACTTTAACTAACTCCTCCTAGGGATTTAGTCGAATTGACTTCACATTTCTGCTGTGCCTTCTAAAGGCGTTGACGATGTAAAGTTGTGCTATCTGCATGTTTTCGTCGATGGGTGTGTCTGTGGCGTCGATGATTCGCCATGAAACAGGAAGTTCTAGTAACTTGGCTGTAAATGCCCAGATCTGCACCAAATTTTACACATTTGACAAGAGTCCCGCCCTGAACAAATCTACATGCCGACATTCACCAAGTCATAGCGCCACCTGCTGGCAACAGGAAGTGACCTTCAATGAAGCATAGCAAATTCACAGCCGCATCGGCTGAGCTCCAGAATATGCAACGCGGCCGCCTCACAACCCGACGCGCGACAGGTGCGAGGGCTTGCCCATCGCTGCTTGCAACTTTATTTTTTTTTTCTGCAAAGTAAGCGCCATTTTCGGGGCCGCAACATGCTCAAAAACTCACGAAAGTGTCGTTTCGTCTCACGCATGTCAGGACTGGTGAATAATTTTGTATTTTCTGAGTTTCGTGGATGGGCATGGCAAAATGGCACACTAGCGCCACCTAGAAAATTGTAAAAAATTAGCCCCTCGTCCACGTTCAACCTACAAGCGCGAAATTTGGTGGCGACGTGTATCATATCAAGACGCACAAAAAAGCCTCAAGAACCCATACGAGCCCATATGAGTCGCCACCACACCCAGAATAGGCCTGTAAAATTCTGGCTATATATATATATATCAAATTTATCAAATAAATGATCAGGATGGCAGGATGGTACTCAGGCCATGTCCACACGGACACGGGTATTTTTATAACCGTGACTTTTTTTACGCGGTTTGGCCGTTCGTCCACACGGAAACGTGAAAGGACACTGAAACCGAACATTTTTGAAAACCCCTGCCAGGGTGAGTATTTTCTGAAAAGTCGGTTGCAGTGTTGTCGTGTAGACAGCGAAACCGGAGTTTTTGCACCGCTGACGGCTTCTGATTAGCTAACGTGGCTTTACGGTTAGGTTTATATCGCCGCCTGCTGGTGTTGCATGCTCTTGACAGCGCTTGATGGCTTGTTTTTGCGTTTTCATGTGGATGGAGGTTTTTTTTTAAACGCAGGAGGGAAAAACTCCGTGTGGACATGGCCTTACACCGTAGATTGGCGCCAGGAGCGGTAATCAGGAACACCTGGTTGCGCAATTAGGACATCCCAAGAAGGCTACATGATGCATCCTTCGAAGGACAAATAGGCTGCATCCTTCTAAGTCCACAGCCTTCACATTGGGACACAGCTAGCTATTCTCTGATACAGTCCAGGTTAGCCTACCCTGTACGTTTATCTGCCCCTGGCAGGTACCACTCACTCAAATGAATCCTTATGAATTTTAACTTCACTTACTGTAGCTTTGAAAGCCTTTTCCAAGTAGACATCATCATCTTTCCAAACTCTGACAACCTTAGACACACGAACAATAAATAAAAAAAATAATTGTAAGTACTCTGCATGTAAAACTGAATTATTCATATGGAAAACATCATGTCTCGATCCTTACCCTGTCATCAGTTACAACCACATATTCCTGGGACTGAGTATTAAACACAGCGGGGCAGGTGATTATCTGCCCATGTTTCACTGTCCAACTGCCCGTAGGCTTCTGATCAGACACCTATTAATCAAGATATCGGTTAAACAGCAACACAAACAGCTACCAAATTACTTTCTGAATAACATTTACAGAAAAAATAAAACAGCATTATATGCCGTTGGAGCATTTCCTGTGTTTGTGTGATGTAGCGCTCATGTTCACGTGCTAGAATTTAACACAGCACTGCATGCAATCCATTATGAGACAAACAGTATTTACAACTAACCCAATTTTACCTTGTAAACAGTAACAGATCTCGAAGCGTCGGTTACGAGGACATGGTCGATATCTCTGCCCAATTCAATACCCAGAATTCCCGAATTCGAAGAATTTTGCGCTGGTCCAATTCCACACAGTGTGTATCCTTCAAACAACGCAGCCATGTTTCTCTTTCCACGCGGGCCGAGTGATTCTTCTTTTTCTAGTACTGCTTAAAGTCGTTGATAAACCAACTTCTGGTATATTACCGCCACCAGCTGGACAGGAGTGTGAAAGCATTATATTTTTTCTCCATTGGCCACACAACTTGCGAGACACCCCTCGCTGCAGCCTGTAGCACGATGACGTAGCTGGATGGTCCAATACGTAGTGGATGGATGTGTGTTTTGGTGACGTCATTTACGCATGCGCAGTGCCGATCTCTGATTATAATTCGAATGCATTGGTTTATGTAAGCTCAATATTGTACTGAGATGATGTTCAAACTGTGTAGTATAATACTGTTAAATAATTATAAGTAATTATTGATGAATAAGTAAGGAAAATGCAAAAATAATAACAGCATGGGGAAAATAAATCTTGTAATAATAAACTCGCATTTATGTTATACATTCAGAATTGCGAGAAAAAAGGTCAGAATTCTGACTTTATAGCACACAATTGCGACTTTATTTCACGCAATTCTGTCTTTATAACAAGCGATTGAGGCTTTATTTCACCTAATTCTGTCCTTATAACATGGATTGAGGCTTTCTTTCACCTAATTCTTTCTCTATAACATGCGATTAAGGCTTTATTTGACCTAATTCTGTCTTTATAAGATGCGATTGAGGCTTTATTTCACCTAATTCTGTCTTTATAACATTGAGGCTTTATTTCACGCAATTATGTCTTTATTTCACCTAATTCTGTCCTTATAACATGGATTGAGGCTTTCTTTCACCTAATTCTTTCTCTATAACATGCGATTAAGGCTTTATTTGACCTAATTCTGTCTTTATAAGATGCGATTGAGGCTTTATTTCACCTAATTCTGTCTTTATAACATGCGATTGAGGCTTTATTTCACGCAATTATGTCTTTATAACATGCGATTGAGGCTTATTTCAAGCAATTAGCTATGTCTTTTATGCGATTGAGGCTTTAGTTTATTTCACGCAATTATGTCTTTATAACATGCGATTGAGGCTTTATTTCACCTAATTCTGTCTTTATAACATGCGATTGAGGCTTTATTTCAAGCAATTATGTCTTTATGCGATTGAGGCTTTATTTCAAGCAATTATCTTTATAACATGCGATTAAGTCTTTATTTCACGCAATTCTGACTTTATATCTCACAATTCTGAGAAATAAAGTCTGCGAAAAGTAGCCTATAGGCTACTCGCAATTGTAAGGAAAAAGTCGCAATTATTAAAAAAAAAAAGTTTTATTCTGAAAGCTCTGAAAATAAGAGCTTCGCTCGTGACCATATTTAAATGTATTCTTGGAAGATCAACGATTGTTCACCAACTCTCTAGCTAGGCCTATGAATTCTTAATGTGCATGTGCCATCAGCGTTTATCACAGGATCGCGTTTAAAGTCTGTTTGAGAACGGTGTCATCCCCTAATTTAATAACAAATTATCATTTCGACAGAATCAAAACTAACTAGCTGTAAAATAACATTATTCATGAACCGCTATAAAGCAAAAACAATCTGTTACATTAAATTAAAGCTGCTTTGAAACAATCTAAATTGTTAAAAGCGATATATAAATCAAGATGACTTGACTTGACTAGTGCGCATGCGCGCGTTACAGGGTCCAATACGTATTGGACCGTCCAGCTACGTCATCGTGCTACAGACTGCAGCGAGGACCTCTTGACCCCTGTCTCCGACTGCAGCTGTAACCCCTTCACCCGGGTCCTACTCGCCCCGCTCCGAGCGGGCCTCTAACCCGGGTCTCCGGCGTGAGAGTCGGGCGCTCTAGCAAGGAGGCTAAAGACTGCAACCTCTAGCATCTGTCGCTAGAGCGCCTATTGAGATCGGGGAGTGAGGTCTACTCGCACAGCAACTACTAGCTGGCCTCCGTTACACTCACCCCCCTAAACCTCACTCTCATCCGGGTCACGGCACCAATGTAACCCCTCACACCCGGGTCCTACTCGCCCCGCTCCGAGCGGGCCTCGAACCCGGGTCTCCGGCATGAGAGTCAGGCGTGCTAACAAGGAGGCTAAAGACTGCAGCCTCTAGCATCTGTCGCTAGAGCGCCTATTGAGATCGGGGAGTGAGGTTTACTCGCACAGCAACTACTAGCTGGCCTCCGTTACACAGCGAGGACCTCTTGCAACTTGCACACAACTGAAAGGAGACAGGGGTCAAGAGGTCCTCGCTGCAGTCTGTAGCACGATGACGTAGCTGGACGGTCCAATACGTATTGGACCCTGTAACGCGCGTATGCGCACTAGTCAAGTCAAGTCATCTTGATTTATATATCGCTTTTAACAATTTAGATTGTTTCAAAGCAGCTTTAATTTAATGTAACAGATTGTTTTTGCTTTATAGCGGTTCATGAATAATGTTATTTTACAGCTAGTTAGTTTTGATTCTGTCGAAATGATAATTTGTTATTAAATTAGGGGATGACACCGTTCTCTCTAAACAGACTTTAAACGCGATCCTGTGATAAACGCTGATGGCACATGCACATTAAGAATTCATAGGCCTAGTTAGAGAGTTGGTGAACAATCGTTGATCTTCCAAGAATACATTTAAATATGGTCACTAGCGAAGCTCTTATTTTCAGAGCTTTCAGAATAAAACTTTTTTTTTTAATAATTGCGACTTTTTCCTTACAATTGCGAGTAGCCTATAGGCTACTTTTCGCAGACTTTATTTCTCAGAATTGTGAGATATAAAGTCAGAATTGCGTGAAATAAAGCCTCAATCGCATGTTATAAAGACATAATTGCTTGAAATAAAGCCTCAATCGCATAAAGACATAATTGCTTGAAATAAAGCCTCAATCGCATGTTATAAAGACAGAATTAGGTGAAATAAAGCCTCAATCGCATGTTATAAAGACATAATTGCGTGAAATAAACTAAAGCCTCAATCGCATAAAAGACATAATTGCTTGAAATAAGCCTCAATCGCATGTTATAAAGACATAATTGCGTGAAATAAAGCCTCAATCGCATGTTATAAAGACAGAATTAGGTGAAATAAAGCCTCAGTCGCATCTTATAAAGACAGAATTAGGTCAAATAAAGCCTTAATCGCATGTTATAGAGAAAGAATTAGGTGAAAGAAAGCCTCAATCCATGTTATAAGCACGGCCGCATTAACCATAGGCACGGCCGCATTAACCATAGGGCTAGGCGGGCCTTAAGCCCCGGGGCCCAAGCAAGGAGGGGGCCCGTGATTGGCTGTGGAGCAGATACTGCAAGCCATCTGATTACCAAAGCCTTACCACGCAACAACGTCCCCCACAAATTATCCCTGTTATTTAGTTGCACTTTGCCTTATATTCCATGCATTATCATGGAATCATTATCATTAATAGAGACGTTCGCAAAGACCCGCCTTTTTTAGGTACTATGTGACGGACGGGCCACGAGCCAGGCGGCTCTCGCGAGTCACGCACATCATGTTCTCATGCACTCACGCAGTGAAAAATACTTCGCGGGGCAAAGACTAACGTTACACCGAGTGATTACGAGAGAGAGTTCAGAGCAGCTTACTGTTGATATGAAACAAAGTCTCAACTTTCAAATATTGTCATTTAAGTAATTTAAACATTACCGTTTTCAAGTTCATGTCCACGACTGACAGCTTTGTTGTCGGACAAAGTTGCGTATTCGGCGTTATGATTGGCCAGGCCACCTGTCAATCAAACCCCCGTAGGCATGCAGGGCCAACGGCTCTGAGCAGGGCATGGTAAATTGAAACGTCAGGTTTTAATTTGATATGACAAATATATTTATTCTATATTTAACTTGTGAACGACCGACCTGCTGCTGCACGTAGGCCTATAGATGATTGCTGCCTGCGCCTTATTAGAATAGGTTATACATCAACCAATAAATCGCCTTTACTCTTCTCTTCATTCTAATCTAGTCTTAAAACACAGCGTCATCGACCCCACAAACTTTCGGTAAGTTTGAATATTAACTTGATGGATGTATAATTTTGCTTTTTGTGTTTGATTAAACTCAATATTCGCCTAAAGGACTGGCGATAATATATCCGGTAGAAATATTTAAATTTTGCTGCGCCATCATGATGTAAGTTTATCATTTAAACGCGTTTTTAAACGTTGTGGTTTGGATACAAATTATTTCAAACTGCTCAGGCACAGTGAGCAGCGGGAGAATTTATTTTGTAAATGCTGGTTTTGAGACCAAGGTGAACCATAGACTGTGGTGAACTTGAGACGGTTTTGCACAGCGCACTTGAATCCGACTCTGAGGTCTCAAAGTGACAGACGCTGCTAATAAAGCTGCTGTCGCCATGTGTGTCAATAATGTTAATCAAACATCAGAAAGAAAGTAATTTACTGCATTTGACTGAATTACTTTTGCAAAATTAACAAGAATGAATGTTGAATTTATAGTGAAAACCATGTATTGTATATTTGATTACTTTATATAATATTATTCAGTGCTTTAAGTTTTTCATAGGTCGATTTATTGTGCCTTTGTTCTATTTTAATTTGTGACTCTTGTCATCAGTAAGCTTGAGATTATTTTCTTAAGCTACTATTATTTTTTGGTGATATTGAAATTGGTCACAATAATTATGAAATTTTAGTCAATACATTTTGATATGATAAAAAAATCATGTTAAAAGTAACATAACTTAACTGTGAAGTATATCATAGATGGATAAAATGACTCGTAGGCTATAATAATATAACATTTAGCTCATGTAGTTGGTGACCTAAAGTGGTGGGGGGGCCCTGCAGTAACTCATAGCCCCGGGGCCCAGTGAGCTCTTAATACGGCCCTGGTTATAAGGACAGAATTAGGTGAAATAAAGCCTCAATCGCTTGTTATAAAGACATAATTGCGTGAAATAAAGCCTCAATCGCATGTTATAAAGACAGAATTAGGTGAAATAAAGCCTCAATCGCATCTTATAAAGACAGAATTAGGTCAAATAAAGCCTTAATCGCATGTTATAGAGAAAGAATTAGGTGAAAGAAAGCCTCAATCCATGTTATAAGGACAGAAT